CCTCGAGCTGGCGGGTGATGTCCTCGACGCGGAGCTGGGTGTGATCTGCGCTGGTGCGCGCGATGGCCAGCGCCTCCCTCGCATTGCTGAGCTCGGTGCTGGAGAGGTCGATGCGGCTCTGGAGGTCCTTGGTCTCAATCTCGCGACGCAGGCTGAGCTGGCGGTACAGGTCCTGCTCAGCAGCAAGACGGCTGCGCAGATCCTCGTTGGTCTCGTCGAGCCTCTTGACGTCCTGCTTAAGGCGGGAGGTCGCGTCGCGTCCGCGTTGCTCCAATTCGGCCTGCATTGCCTGCGTCGTCTGGACGAGCTGCTGGAGGTTGTTACGCTCCGCTTGGATGGAGCGGCTTTCCTCGAGGAGCTTGGCCTCGGCGGCCTTCCAGAGGTTCTTCTCGGCCTGCAGAGTCGAGACCTGCGAGCGGAGATGCTCGAGGCTGGATCGCGCTTGAATCAGCTGTTCCTCCAGCGTCTCCACGGCAACGTCCTTGCTCGCAAGCTTTTGCTGGAGCTGAGCAGCGCGCTTCGTGAACTCCTCCAAGTCGGACCTGGCCAGCTCGTGCGTCCTCTGCAGGTTGGCAAATTTGTCCTCGGCCGCTTGACGCAAGGCGCCTTCGCGCGCCGAAGAGACAGTGGCCTTGCCGATCTCGGCTTGCAGCGATTGCACCTCCTTGCGGTAGCGAGCGATTTCGGCATCGGTGTCGGACTTGAGGCGGTCGTGTCGAGTTCGCAAGGCTTCGTACTCGGCGAGGGTAAGGCCGGAGCCAGCGACGGGTGCCGCACTCGCGACGCCCGTCGAGCCCTTGTCATCGGCGGCGTTGTTTGCAGCGCTGCGACCGCCCGTGGCGCACAACTGTCGGAAAAGGTCGCGTTCCTTGCTGACCTCTTCCACCCTGAACTGCTCCTGGCGAACCTCGTCTTCCAATCGCAGAATGAGGTCGCGAGCCTCGTTGACCGCTTCATCCTGGTCCTCGGCGAGTCGCGCTTTGTAGTTCTTCTCCTCTTCCTCCATCTTTGCGCCGAGCTGGCGCGTAACTTGCAGCAGGCGGGCGTTCTGACTGCAAAGCTCGGTGAGCGAGGCAAAAGTGACGAGCTCGTTGGTGATGACGGTCTGGGTATCGGACTCTGGCAGACTTTCGGGCAGAGGAGCGATCGAGTCGAGCTCAGCCAAGAGGCTGCCGTCGTCCTCGAGACGCGCAGCAGCCTGCGGGTCGTCTCGCAGGATGATGGCCTTGGTCAGCTCGCGCACCTGGCGACCAAAGTCGGCGAGCTGCTGCGACATGAAGCCGTTTTCACGCGTGATGCGCTCCAGGTCGAGACGCAGACGTTTGGCCTCGGCTTGGACTGTGTCGCGCTCCTGGGAAGCCGACGCGACCTGCGCCACCATCTCTTCGAGATCGGCCGCAAGGCGTTCGGTCTCCTCGCGCTGCGCCTGCAGTTCAGGAGCCCGCTCTTGCAGCTCGTCCATGACCTGCGCGAGCACCGCGGTGAGGCGGTTGGTCTCGAGCTTCTCGCGACGCAGCTCTTCTTGCGTCTTGGCGAGCTCCATGTAGATCTGGCTGAAGGACTTGCCGGACTTGCGGATGCGGTTGGCGATCTCGGCGGTGGGCGAGATGCCGAAGCTGTTGTTGAAGGATGCAGCCGTGCCCATGAGCGCAGAGCGACGCGGGGTGGATGCGGTGCTGCGCGCATCAAAGTCAAGGCCGGCATCGCTGGCACCGTCGAAGGTCTGGTCGAGCAGGTTCTCGCCGTTTTCGCGCTGCTGGCCGATGCCGACACCTTCTGCGAGACGGTCGAGGGCCTCTGAGAGTTCGCGGTTCTCCTTCTCGAGGGCCTCGCGCAACCGCACCTCGTTCTGGGTCTCGGCCCAGGCGGCCTCTTCTCGGGCGCGGCACTGCTCGAGGACGTCCTCCCACTGCTCTTCGAGCTCCTTGATGCGCTCGGCTGCGTGTTCGGCCCGCCTTTCGAGCAGCTTGACGAGCTGGCTCTGGTTGCTGACCTCGGTACGGAAGGAGTCCTCCTGCGACGCGAGGCGGCTTTGGAGCTCGGCGAGCTTCTCGGACGCCTCGGTAAGCTTGCTGCTGGTTTCGGTGTAGGCGGTCTGGAGTGAATCCACCTTGGAGCGGGCCAGAGTTGCTTCTTGACGGGCGGCATCCAGATCGGCCTGAACGCGGGTGAGCTCAGCCCGCTTGGTGGCACGGAAGGCGGCGGAGGCGTCGTTGAGTTGAGCGAGTTGGTCGTGAGCCCAGTCGCTGTTCTTCTTTGTGAGTTTGATCTCTTGCTCTAGACTTTGCAGCTTGAATGTAGCGATGTTCTCCTGGCTGCGGGACTCTTGGACGGCGGTCGAGAGGCGCGAGATTTCGTGGCGCGCGTCGCGGTTACGGGTGAGGAGAGCGTCGATCTCTTCGGCCTTGCGGGTGCTCTCTTCGCGCTCGCGCTGGAGACTGGCGAGGAGGTCGCGCTTCTCCTGTTCGACCTGGTCGAGCCTGCCGCGAACCTCGGCGGCGTGTCGGACGCCGGACTCGGTGGAGCTCTTGAGCGTAGTGAGCTGAGCGGTGACGCCGACAAGCTCGGCAGAAAGGCGGTCACGTTCGCTGGCGACGAGCTCTTTGGCGCGTCGTTCGTTCTCGAGATCCGTCTTGAGCGCTGCGGACTGGGCCTGCGCTGCGGTGAGCTCGGTGGCCAGCTCGGCACTGCGCTCTTTTGCAGCGGTGCTCTCGCGCTTCTCGTTGTCGAATTCGGTCTGGACGGAGCCGAGTTGGCTGTGGAGGCTGTTGATCTCGGTCTGCAAGCTCGTTGTGAGGTTGGTGGACTCGTTGCCTGCTCTGCGAACGGTGTCCAACTCCTGCTCGAGCTCGGTGTTGCGGTCGCGGAGAGACGAGAGTGTCGATTCTGTCTGCTGACGTCCCTGCTCGAGTGTGGCGAGCTGCTGCTTCATGCCAAAAGCCTGGAGAGCAACATCATAGAGGTGAAGCACGAGCTCAGCGTCGGGAGACTGCAGGCGTTCGAGCGTGACAGCTGGTCGAGATTCTGCGTCACTGAGCGTGGTGAGTGCCAGAGTAAGCTGATCGGCGGACATGTGAGGCTGGAGATGGACCTGCAGTGTGACTGGGGCTGCTGGCGCTTGGTCCTTGCTAGCCTCCGCGGCCGCGCCTAGGTCCGACATGGCGACATCCGTAGATTGCTCGTCGGCAGCCTTTTGTGCATCAGCCGCTTCGGCTGCTGCGAGGGTAAGCCGCTGTATTTCCTGTGCGTCAGGCACAGGGTTGGGGTCGGCCATGCGCGGCGTGAAGCCGTCTATGGGCCGTTTGTACTCTTGGACGGTGGGTGTGTTGGTCGAAGCGGAATGAGCGTGCGCGTGGACCGGTGGAAGGGGAACCCGCTCGGGCGTGGTGCTGCCGAGAGAGAGGTCGGGAGGCAGCGGTGATGTAGAGAGTGTATGGGTAGAAGCGAGCGGTGATGGGCGTGGTGATGGTGATGGCGACGGAGGCGACCAGCGACAAAGTGGAGTTGGGCGGAGCGCGGATCGTGGATGGAAGACTGTGCGCTTTGAGTCGGCGACTCTGTGGCAGTTGAGCTGCAGGCTTCACGTGATGAGAAATGGCATTTTCTTGAGAGAGGCTGTTAAAGCGCCGGGGCACGGATCTCGGGCGGTCGGACCATGCGCGAAGAGGTGAATTCCAGCGCATTCAAGGGTCTCTGCCACGACGCAGCGTTGTTGCCTTCATTTGCTCTACTCGACATCCTCCTCCTCATCATCCAGCGAATCAGCCTCGGCATTTCCGACTCATCGATACGCGCCTCTTCATACCTCTCGGACATCCCGCCGACGTGATTCGCGATGGGAGCTTCCGAATCGCGGCTTCGCGTAGAAGACTCGGACGACGCGCCCAAGCAAGGCTACCACGTCGTGCGCGTTGCAGCCGGCTCCCCCGCACACCTTGCTGGAATCGAGCCGTTCTTTGACTTTTGCGTGGGCATCGACGGTGTTGCGCTCGATCCGACCAAGGATGTCGACGGTGCCGGCGACACTACGGGCTTGGGAGCATGGAAATCGCTCGAGGAGCGTGAGGGTACCCAGGTCGTCCTCAACGTATGGAATTCGAAGCGACAACAACTTCGCCAGGTGCCCCTGGTTCCATCGCGGCAATGGTCCTCGCAACCGTCGACGAGCAGTATCAATGGGACCAGTTCCGAAGCCACATCACAGCCCTCGTTGCTGGGACTTTCGTTGAGGCTGTGTAATCCCTCGCAGGCGCTTTCGCACGTATGGCACATTTTGGAGATCCTCGAAGGCTCACCCGCCGAATCGGCAGGTTTGGTTCCATTCGGCGACTTTGTAATCGGCTGGCCAGGCGGAGTGCTCCAGGCGGAAGGCGACTTCTACGAGCTGGTCGAAGCACATACCGATCGCGCGTTGCGGCTGTACGTCTACAATTCCGACTATGACCATACACGCGAAGTGATCATCGTTCCCAACCGCGAATGGGGCGGTGAAGGCCTCCTCGGCTGCGGCGTGGGATACGGCCTCCTCCACCGCATCCCCAAACCACAAGACCTACCGCAAGTCCCACCAGAGCTGGAAGGCCGAGATGCAGTGCCTGAAGACCAGCTCCAAACACCACGAATCGGTGGACCGCCATCCGCTTTTGCTACGCCGTCGAATAGCAGGCTGCAAGAAGACGAATTTAGCACCCCACTCGCTAACCCATCCACAAGATACACCTCGTCGTATTCGGGTCATCCAGACCCAGAATTCACAGAGCAGGACGAAGACGACTACGAAGCAAACACCAGCGGCGTCACCGTCAGCATGCGTCACGACGAAGAAGACGAAGAAGACCTCTAGCTCATCCATCGTCACTGCTTTCAATCTAAAAGCAATTCTGCACCACTCGCGCGTGTCGATGTTCATACATCTGAGCATCAAAGAAAAGAGATGTGTTTGATTCGACCGGGCGCACTATACAAGCATGTGAGCTATACTACTACAGCCGCGCATCGACTCAATCGCGGCGCGTGAGCGGCTTGCGCAGAGCCGCAAAGAAGGGCGGCGCATCCAGACCGAGTCGGCGCTGCACCTCGTCCGCCCAGACGGTGAGAAGGCCGATCTTGTGCTCGAGCTGCTCGATCTGGATCTTGTGCGTCTTGTCACGCCTCTGCGCCTCGTCCGTCAGCTCGTGGCACATGTCCCGCATCACATCCACGCGCTCCGACAGCTGGCGCACCTTGTTCTTGTGCTCCTCCAGCTCCGACTGCCTCTTTGTCAGCTGCTCCGTCAACTCGTGCACCCGCACCTCGGATGCGCTCGCAGTCTCGCTCAGTGTTGCAGCAGCAGGCGAGGCTACGGCCGCCGGGCTAGTAGGCGCGGTCTTTCCGTCCGCGTCAGGCTGTCGCTGCTGTGCAGGGTGTACGGGCGGCGCAGATTGCGGAAACATGAGCTCGGCGAGGAACTCAATGTCATCGGCCGACTGAACATTCGCCTCCTTCCCAGTCGCCGCGCGGGCCGCCCGAAGCTTCTTGAACAAGGCACTGTTGGGGCGTGCCTTGACTGCCTTAGCGACCAGCTTCTCTTTGACCGAGCTCTCTGTCGCAGGAGAAGTGAGGCCGGCGAAGCTGTCGTCCCAGCTCGCCATGAAGATGTCCTCCAGATCGCGGAACTGGTTCGAGATCGGATATGCGTACACATCCGAGCTTTCTACCTGCATTCTGGAGGGCCTTGCGCCATCCTGGCCCTTCGGCTGTTCAGCACGAAGCTCAGAGGGGATGATTGCACCGTCGGGCTCATCGCGCATACGGCCGTCCGTGGCGATGTACAGATCCGAGACGGGCAGAAGGTGATCCTCGCTTTCTACCGCATTATCGAGATCGTGCTTGTGCTCCTGCGAACACTTGAGGTCGCGCTCGCGCATCGCTCGGTCCACATCGCCGATCCAATCTTCGCGTAGCTCGCCGGCCTCCTCGGTCTCGGCAGATGAAGCCTGATCTTTGGCCACAAGCGTGTGGGCAGCCTCATCAACCGCTGATGATTCGGCGGCAGCAGCCGCACGCCCGGCTACTCTCTGCCACTTGAGCTTTGCGCTGCGCTGAGCCGGCGCCTCTTCTGCGGCGTGAGGTTCGTGCGAAGTGGCAGTCGAAGACGTAGAGCCCTCGGATGACTGACAGGCGTTACGGTCGCTGGACGCCCGGGAGACATCGTCGTGGCGAGACATGCGACCAGGCTGCCAAGTACCAAAGCTTGCATCTTCCGCGCTTCGACGCCCCGTGCGTGAGCCAAAGAAGAAGCCGGAACGCTCAAGATCAAAAATATCGCCCCAGACTTCGGCCAGGCTGCCATGGGAGGAAGAATCGGCAAGGGAAGCCTCTTTGGCGTCTTGTTCGCGGATCCAGTTGCGGCGCTGCGCTACGGCTCGACTAGCCTCCTGCAGCTCGCGCTCGATCTGTCGTCCGATGTCTTTGCCCGCCTGGCCATCCCGAAGTGACGCCGCGACAATGTTCTGGACACGACCTGCAGCCAGCGCATTGATCCTGGCAAAGTCGAGGGCTACACGGCGCCAAGCGCGCGCATCTCGGTACGCAAGGCTCTTGGCAGCCTGAAGGCGATTCATGGTGCGTCGGTTGCGGACGAGGAGGTAAACGGCGGCACTAGATGCGGCACCGAAGAGGACAAAAGTGAAGGTGGTCTTGCCTTTGGTGAGCTCCGACTCTTCCTGCGGCTGTTGCGGCTGCAGCAAAGGACGAGGGCTTCTAGCCGGAGATTGCACGGGCGCTGATGGCAGCTTGCTCTGAGCAGGCTCCGAAGACGAAGGCGCGAACCACGAGGATACGCTGGGAAGAGATAAGTTTGAGAGCACGTTGTGAGACGGCAGGCTTGCGTCGCAGAGATAAGAGGAGACGGACTCGAGGCGAGAGTTGAGCGAGGCGGAGATGTCTGAGACCGTAGATCGAATGTATTTGTCGGCGTCGGCCCAAGTGCGACTGGAGCGCTTGCTATCGGCGTCTGAGCTCTGTGCAGCCTCTGCAAAGGTATGAAGGGGGCGTCGGTCACGCGGAGTGGAGGAGGCGGGTTCAGGATCGACAGGGGACGACGAGGAGTGGGAGGAAAAGAAGTAGCAGTAGCTCGAGAGCATCGGCCGTCTTGGGGTGGGGACTTCAACAGGATGCAAGGCTTAATAGAAGGACAGTGAATGATGGAGGCAAGAATCGAGATGGTGGTGCGGGGGATAGCAGTGCCAAGTAGGATTGTCGTCAGGAACCAGTCTCAGCTAAGCGTGCGGGGCCGACTACTCGCGCTGCGAGCATGCAAGCACGAACGGAGAGAGATGAAGCGGAGCGCGCCAAAGGCTTAGGCAAGATCCAAGCCGTGCTGGACAGGGTCTCCGCAGGAATGAAATGTGCGCGGATCAGGAGCCTATCGTTCAGCTCAGCGCCAGGCGTATCCGCGCGCGCATCTCGTAGAGGGCGAGGTGATTGCGATGGACGGGCACGCGAGTCGCGCGACCTTGGCTAGCACTGCGCGCAAGAGCTTCAGGGCGCGGATGCTTTGCCCAGCGCACGGCTCAGGTGAAAGCTGCCGAGCTGGCGGATGGCTGAGCCAAGCGGCACCCTGGTGGTCACACCTTGAAGCCTCGAATTTCGCCTACAGGCACGGACAGCCTGCAGAGGTGCATGACAGCCCAGTGGACCCTGGCCCGCCTGCCGGAGGTCAAGCGCCAGAGAGAGCGAGAGCGAGTGGCTTTGAGCCAGGGCGAGCTTGCAGCAGCCTCTTGATGCGCGCAACTCAGCAGCCCTTGGACCCTGAAGATAGCGTCGACGGTCGAGCCATCTTTTTCTTTTTGGCACGCGCAGATGCTCCCTTTTCCCCCTCGATGAAAATGAGATGTAACAGCATTTAATTTGGAAAATCGCCCGCCCACGATTCACGCTCTTTTTCGCAAGAGGCTGCTGCCTCCTCGGTTGGCGAGCACGGCCAAAGCCTGCAGCTCGAGCCAGAGTGGCTTCAAGGCCTCAAGCCTCCACCTAGCCAGAAGCATGGATTCGAGCGAGTGCCCGCCGATCCCGCCGCTCGCCGCTGTGCCGTCTGCGGCTGAAGCCTGGAGCGTTACCACCTCGGCTTCCCCGCACTCGGAACGCTGCGTACGCTAACGTTGGACAGCCAGTTTCTCGTTCCGGCCTGCTCGCCTGAGCGACGCCGCGCCAGTATTCCCTCCACCACGTCCATCCTCACCACCATCCGGACATCCGTGGCCGTATCACGCAAACACCATGTCTTCCTCGACCAAGCCCGACGAGCGTATGAAGGCGGAGGCCGACCAGGCTCTGCACACCCAGGAGGACCTCGACTGCCCTGGCTTTGAATCCAGCCGCGTCTTTGCGCTCTCTGCGCAGCTGCTCGCCAATCCGCCGGAGGGCTTCCCTTCGCGCAAGCGGCTGCTCCGATCGCTCCAGAGCATCTACCTCTTTGTCATCCAGCCCTCGAGTGCCATCGATCCATCCAACCCGCGCACCAAGCCCGTGGATGGCAAGGTGTCGACGTCCGGAGGCGCGCTGCGTCCTGCCATGTGGTATGCCGACATGAAGAACAAGGGCGTCATCGGACGGGGACAGCCTCCCAAGACCGTGCTCGGCCGAAAGCGCAAGGCGGATGTGGTGATCGAGTGCCGAGACCGCGATTTCATGGAGCTCGCAACCGGCAAGGTTCAGGCGCAGCGTCTCTACAATGAAGGAAGGGTAAGTCGTCCACTTGACGTGCACCGCCGCCGTGATCTGCGAAAGATGAGGTGCCAACGCAATTTTGCTCCCGGCTCGAATGCTTGCTGACGTCTTTCCTCGCGCTTGCTTTGATGTCTCGCCGCGTCGGTTGATCCGATCCAGATCAAGATCCGTGGCGACCTTGACCGCGCACTCAAGATTTCGTCGCTCATCTCGCACGAGCGATCCAAGATCTACGGCACTTCGCCTGCCTCGGCTTCCGTCGAGCAGAAGGTGGCCGCCGTCGATCATGAGCGTGAAGGCCACGCCTCGCGCAACGACGACTACGGCGCCGGCAGCCCTGCTCCTGTCCCGGACCGTGCGCGTCTCTGAGTGTCGGGCTGCCTCTGCAATGTGCTGCGTCCAAAGGTATATGTCGTCGATTGAGCCGACTCGACCTTTTCTCGCCCAATCGCCTTTGAGATCGGACATTGAATGCACATCATATCGTTGTCTCCAGGTTGTCACTCGTTGGGCTGTCTGAGATCTTGAAAAGCTTTCGGCAGGATAGCTGCGCCGAGCGACTCCTGGTCGTGACTGCATCGGCGTCAATGCTCTTGCCCTTGCTCTTGCCTCAACTCAGTCCAGCCTCGGCTAAGCTTGTGAGAAGAAAAGCGGCCCAAGCTCGTCTCTTTGTTCGTCACCCCTTTGTTCACCAGCCCTTTGTTCCGAAGTCACACGCCCATCCTACCGTACATTGTTCCCAACGGCTGCATCACCGCCATGAATCTTATGCAAGCTGCGAGCAACTCGCGCCATGAGACAATAAAACCGGCTCAACCCACTCGAGCTGCGCACGCTATTCAGAGATGAGATTTTTTCCGACCAAGGATGCTCAGCTCGACAGCTTCGAGACGTGTCCCGAGTCAGTTCCAGTCGGGCCGGAATCCCTTTGCGAGCCTCTTGGACCCTTCCGAAGCCTCCGGTCCCTTTGACGTTTTTCTTCTTGCTCGACGGCTTCCAGCACCAGCATGCAACCAGCGCGCGGCGCAGCCGACGCACGGATAACGCTAGGCCCTTTGTCCAGCCTTGTCAGCTGCGCTGATATGAAGGCTCGAGCGCTGTTCCTCAAGCAACCCACAGCCGCGCTTGGTTCCGGCCTCTTCATTTCGTCCACGAGCGGCAGCAGCAGCAGCACGGGCTGATGCCCGGGATCCTCCTGCCCGAATCAGGTGTGCCGTGACCCTGATCTTCCCTTTCTTCCTGGATGAGCAAACCCCACCAGCGCCTTGCCTCCCCACCCTCTCAAGCACAGGTGGCAAACACTTCAACGTCTTCTCCGGGTCGTGGCCTTTCAAGCACCACCTGGCAACTTCTGTCTTGACCACTAATTGTCACCTTCTTCCCTCTCACTTCTTGCACTTGTCGCCATGGAGGTCTTCATCGACAACATTCCCCACAATCTCGACGCTGGCGCCATCGAGCGTTTCATCTACGCAGTCGTCCACACAGAGCAGGTGTTTGGCTCGGGTGCCAGGCCCTTGCCCGGTATTAGCACGCCGCCGGCACCGCCTACCACCACGGCCATCGTGTCGATCAACAAAGGCTTCTTCTTCAAGCTAGTCAAGCGTCGCGAAGGGTTCCACCTTGGCTTCCTCACGTTTGCCCGCCGAAAGGTGGCTCTGTGGTTCATCGAATACGCCCAATGGCAGCCCTTTGTCAGCAGGCATGGTCTTAGAGTCAGGGAAAGCAGAGAAGAGCCTTTGCCAGCCTTCATTTCTGCCATCGCCGAAAACGCCACAGACCAGCAACCCTCGGCGAGTGTGCAAAGGGCGCCTCCCAAGTACTACTTTGGCGTCGCCCACGTCGGCTACTGGGGAGCGCCATTCCGCTTCAACTACACCCACGCCTACGTGGGCGGACGTCTTTACCTCTCGATTGAAGACAAGAACGTCATCCGCATCCAGCTCAATCATGACACCGTCACCTTTCTGCCGCGCGACGTCAAAACGATGACCCTCAGGCAGGTCAAGTCCGCTGGATCGACCGCATCGGATGTCGGTTGTATCATGTTCTTCGAATTGAAGTCGAACCCTCATATTGAGGGAGACTTGCTTCGCGGCGACGACGCTCACGCTTTCCGCCTTCCAACAAGGATCATCCAACTCATCTTTGCCAAAGACAAGCGCGCTAGTGAGGACTCCAAGAACCTCTGGAAACGTCTCGAAGTCCTGCTTGCCGGCGTACCGCAGCTCAAGTATAGCAAAATTCAGACCTACCACGACAAAAATGCGCCATTCGTGGCCAAGTTCTTCCAACGTAGCAAGAGCCTCGACGTCGAGCTGGCCTTGCTACGCGAGTCTCTGCTTCGTAACGAGCTCCTGAACATGTCGGCGCTCGTAAAGCTTTCGCCCAAACTCGACCACATGATCAATCAAGGTCAGCAAGCTCTCGCTCTGCGTGTGCTCAAGAACTTGGTCCCCAAGCTTGAAGCCCGACAAGAGAGGGGCGTCGACGAGGAAGCGGTGCTCCGAGTCTCACAGAAACTGTGGGACGAGGCCTGCGCAGAGGCCACCGGAAACGACTCCCGGGGCTTTCTCTCCGTCCTCGACCCGACTCCTTCGCCGGATGACGACTATCTGTCCAAGACCTTCAGCATCGATGTCACGCCCACCCGCGTTCTCCTCTCTGGCCCTCACACGCACGTCTCGAATCGCGTCATCCGAGCCTACAGTGACCATTGGCACCACTTTGCTCGAGTCACATTTTCGAACGAGGACCGCGGAGGCGCTACGACCATCAAGGCCAACTATGGATTTGTCGAGAGCGAGCGATACATCCAATCGCGTGTGCTCAAGATCCTGCAACGCGGCATCAATGTGGCTGGGCGACACTGGGAGATGCTGGCATGGTCGTCGTCGAGCATGAGCGCGCACACCGTCTGGTTCGTGACGCCATTTCGCGACAAAGATGGAACACACGTTCACGCCGAAGTCATTCGCCGCGAGTTGGGTGACTTTACCGACGTCGCGAGGTATCCGGCCATGTACGGCGCCAGACTGTCGCAGGCATTCAGCGCAACTGCTCGCACGGTCGAGGTCGATTCGTCACTCATTCTCCACATGCCCGACATCGAGACTCCGGACCGGAAAATGGCCTACACGGATGGGGTCGGCCAGATCTCACCGGAGCTGATGGCCGAGGTGTGGGAGAAGTATGTGACGTCGGCGCTAGGCGAGCCGCGGAAGCGCAAATTACTCAAAGCCGCCGCCCCTTCGGCCATTCAGATTCGTATTGGCGGCCACAAGGGCTGTCTGACCGTGAACCCCAGATTGCAAGGGAAGCAGCTTGCGCTTCGTCCGAGCATGTCCAAGTTCGTATCGCCACATCAAGATCTCGAGGTTGCCAACTCCTCGGCGCGTTGTCTGTCCGCCAAGCTCAACCGACCTCTCATCAATGCACTTGATGACCGCGGCGTGCCAGCCACTGCTCTGCTCGACATCCAGAAAGAGGCTATCGCCCACATCGGCAGAGCACGCACGCACTTCGACGAGACGGCAAAGCTATGCTCCGCATATAGCTTCGGCACGGGCTGCGACCTTCACATTCTCTTTCAGAAGCTGCACAAGCACGGCATGGGGGCGACCTCGATCCACAGCGACAGCTTCTTCCTCGTACTGGCCAAGGCCGTCATAGCTGCTGCGCTAGGCGACATGAAGCGCAAGGCTCGCATCCCCGTCCGCGGCGTCACGCTCATCGGGGTCGCCGACGAATTTGCTTTCCTGAAGGAAGGCGAGGTCTTTGCGCAGGTCGAGCATGTCGACCTCGGGCAGGTCAGACGGCGAGTGCTTGTCGGAACCAAGCTGATCGGCCGTTCTCCCACAGTCGATCCAGGCGACATCGCCATGGTCAAGTGTGTCAGGCCTCCTCCTGGTCACCCGCTCTTGCAACTGAGGAACGTCGTAGTGTTCAACACATGCACTCGCCAGGAGCCTTTGCCTCGCCGGCTGGGTGGAGGAGATCTGGACGGCGATCTGTACACGATCTACGAGGACGAGCGCCTCTTCCTCCCTACGCCGCAACCGGGTACGACCTTCCATGCCAAGACGAGGCCGATGGAGCTCGATCGGTACTGCAACTCGACGGACTTGGCAAACTTCTTCGCCGACTTTATGCTCAACGACTTTATCGGCTTGGTTTCGCACATGCATCTGCGCATCGCAGATGCCAGTAAGGCGGGCTCGCTTGACGGGCGCTGCAAACAGCTCGCCATGCTGCACTCGCTGGCCACCGATTTTCGCAAGACCGGTGTTGCGGTTAAGCGCACACAGCTGCCACGCATGGACGAGCCCATCATTCCCGACTTTCTGGCACAGGGAGAGCCTCGACAGGGAAGATTGACCTACCCGAGCACGCGCGTGCTCGGCTACCTCTACCGCGCCGTTAGCTGGAATCAGACGGATACGCCGTCGCTGGACAAGAACACGGACCCCGAGACCGGCCTCGAGCCCGATTACACCGAAGACTACGGCGATGAGGACGACTTGACCTCGGAGATTGACAGCGAGTTTGGCAGTGACTTCGATAGTCTTGTAGAGCAGCATGTGCCGCAAGGCGCAGCTCGTAATCCTTCGGCGCGCGCCACCGTAGGCAGTGCGATCGGGAATCGGACGCTGGGCAGCGGGCAGAATGGGGCCAACGATGGCAACTCTGCTTCGGCCCAAGCGGCGCCGTGGCAGTTCAAAGATAGCACCTTTCCGGATCTGCTGGAGCGGATCGCAAATTCCAACAGCGACTGGCTGCCAACGTCTCCGTCGGACGCAGACACGGACGAGCAGACCGTGGTTGAGGAGGGATACCGCTACGTTTCGCTGTTCATCGAGTTCACACGAAGGCTGCGTAGCCTCTCGCGGATGATTGCAGAGTATCATCCCGAGAACAACGGCTCCGCGAATGGGATCGGCGGCGCGTTGCTGGTGTCGGAGGTGCATCTGCTCACCGGCCGCTTGCCGTGGGCTAAGGTGGCGCGGAAGACGTGCCACGATCGCGACAGCAAGGTGCTGGACAGCATGCAGCCGCTGTGCGCTCTGCTGCGCAAAAACATTTGCCGCATCTCGGAGGCGGAGGCGTTCGCGCCGCCGGTCAAACGCGAGGACGTCAAGGTCGAGGCCGATGTTCAACCCGTGGCGTTCACGGGCATCGTATCGGTGGCGGCGAACGGCGCGTCTGGATCTCAGCAAACGCGCGTGCAGTCGGGGGCAGCTGGAGGGACAGGCCCGACTAGCGCAGCTGCCTCGGATTATGGCAGTCATCGCAACCCGATCGAGATCGACTCGGACTCGGACTCGGACTCGGACTCG